GAGAGAGAGAGAGAGAGAGAGAGAGAGAAGTACAGTATTGTTGGCTAAAATATCAAGAGACAAATAGTGAAAGATTGAAAGAGGGAAAGCTTAAAAGCTTGCGAGATGATGATGCCTTACAGTTCTTTATGATAAGATAGATCAAACAAAAGCAAGATAAAAGAAAAGGCGCAGTAGGATATATTTATTTATTACATTCCTTTTTTCATTTTCGACAAAAACATGGATAGGTAACGAAAACTGACGGGGATAGGAGAGATTTTTCGAAGATAAGGTCAAAGAACAGAGATGTGAAATAAATAAGAATATTAGCTTTCAACACTAGTGTCAAACTAATTTATATTTTAAAAGATTAGCATAATAGAATTCGAAATGGATATTGGAAGATTGTGGCACGCCAATCTTGCAAATGGGGACGCCTTAACTGTCTAAGGATTTCGTTCTGTCAATTTTTTTTGTCTCGTCAGCAATTTCTGGAAATCACTTTAGCATGAATAGAAAAACCTTATTTTTTTATCAACAATTTCTGTTTCTTTCTGTTTACCAACCACTCCATAAGGCAAGATGTGGTACAAGTCCAATTTTTAACGTGGGGTGTCCGAGCCCGTAGACTCGGGCAAAAATTGTTCCTAGACACCGTATATACGAGGTTAGGTTTGTCTTCCTCCTCAAATGAGACTGCCTTTCGGCATAGCTTCGTCTGGGTTCCTCTCCGCCCGAGAGTTCAACAAGAGAGAAAGAGGAAGAGAAAGCCTTCTCCTACTATTTTTGTTTCTTAAACGATAGGAATTATCGGTTTATGTTTTATGGAGATTAGTAGAAATCATCAATTGACAACTAAAACCATTTCAAACGATACGAGTAAAATTTATTCATGACGAGTTTAAATGACGAAATGATAACTCTAGGTTTCCTGAGCTAATGTCATTGGAGTATTTGCCTGCAAAAAAAAAAAATAATAAATAAATACAAAAAAAATAACAAACAAAAAAAACCTGGAAGAATATGCCAAAAACATGCATGCAGATTTCTCGAAGAGAAAAAAAAGGCGAAATTAGAGGCAACTTGGTGCAAACAGTACATTGAACAAAGAATAGATAAACATACTAATAGAAGTCTGTCTATATTTCCGAGATGAGGTATTATGTACACTATTTACATTATTCGGTCTATTGTCCTCATCTTTGTTGCCATATTTATTACAACGTTTCGGCCGCTGTACGCTCCGACCTTCTTCAGGTGGAATGTCCAACTGAACCCTTTATTTCACTCACTGGAGTAGACTAGTTAACAGGAGACAACTGATAACTGACATCCATTAAACATGGCATGTGAAACTAGAACAGTCTACCCCAGTGAGCGAAATAAAGGGTTCAGCTCGACATTCCAATCACCTGAAGAAGGTCGGAGCGTACAACGGTCGAAACATTGTAATAAATATGGTGACTAAGTTGAGGACAATAGTCCGAATAATGTAAATAGTATACCAATAGAAAGTATTCAATTTACGAAACTAGCATTTGTTTTACTTGGCTTTTTTCTTTATTATTATAATCTAAAAGAGTTAAAATATCATTGAAAAACAGTTTTGTATATAATTAAAGCTAAAATAAATATGAACAATCTTCTTCTCTTCAGGACATCGGCGATGATGACTCTCCACAATTTCCTGTCCATTGTAGCTCCTAGTATTTTCAAACTTTTCACTATCTCTCCAAAATCCTGCCGTCTGTTTACCTAAGCTCTCTAGGTAGGTTATACGGGGTTTTCCTCTGTTCCTCTTGTCTTCAATATGTCATGGGAATATCAAATTCGCAAGAACCCTTTTTCATTATTATGTGTCCCAAATATGTCAACTGCCTCTTTCTGATGTTAAGTATAAGTTTCCTTTTTGTTTCTATAAAACTTTCTATAAAACTTCGTTTTATATAAAACGAAGTTTTATATAAAACTTCGTCGTTGCTCCCATTTTCGGTCAATGGTATTCTCAGCATCCTTCTGTAAAACGACATTTCTTCTTCATCTGTGATGAAATTGTTCACCATTCATTGCCAAATAGGGGAACTGATATTATATGACAGTTCAGTACACATTTCTTTGTTTCTAACGATATTTTTTGTTTCTTAAACGTATACAATATTATTTTAAAAAATAACTTTTTTCTTTTTTACTCGTTTAGCGTGTAATTTCGTATAACTTTTTCCTGCCGTATAAGGGTTAAATTTTCCGATAATTATGCTGTAAGTATTGGTGAGTCTAGCACAAGATCTCAGTTTGCTAACCGTAACTGCTGTTTCTAAAGTAGTTAAGCATCTAACGATTGAACAACTTGATTCCTGATTATCTTGACTAATCCGTCGGAAACGGATTTGACTGTAATGTTTTTGGATTAATTTGGATTTGTTTTCATTATCTAGAATGTAAAACAATGTGACTTTATTTTTTTAGCTTCTGCCGCCTGATATGTGATATTTGTAAATAAGGTATTCCGTTGTTATGGTAAACATAGGAATGAAAACCAGTAGCGAAAATGTTTTTGTTGCTATAACAATAGAATAACTCATTATGAAGTAGGGGTGATCAGGCTGCTATTACGTTACTATTTTGCTTTGTACTCACGTTTTGTTTTTTGCTCTTTTTTTTTGTTTTTTTTTGTGAGGTGTATTTTTAATATGAATATGGGCGTCGCGTAGTGGTTAATTGTGTGGAAACTGAGACTGGGGTGTCTAATCCAAATTCGTTTTTGTATAGATACTTTAAACTCTTGACACTATCTCTTCCCTCCCCAGATAGCTGTTAACAGCAGGGCAACCAATCTAGGAAAAAGACAACTCTGAATGCGTTGCGGCCTTTGTACGCTCCGGCCTTCTTCAGGTGGTTGGACTGTCGAACTGAACCCTTTATTTAGCTTACTGGGGTAGACTGTTCTAGTTCGACGTGCCATGTTTAATGGATGTCAGTTATCAGTTATCTCCTGTTAATTCCCCTCTCCAAGTTCTCCACTGCCTTAACCGGGTATTGAACTCACACTATTTGGGTCCTGTCACTAGATCTAACTAACGCTTTTATCCACTGTGCCATGTGTCCTTGAGTGAGCGAAATAAAGGGTTCAGCCACCTGAAGAAGGCCGGGGCGTACAACGACCGAAACGTTGTAATAAATATGGCGGCAAAGATGAGGACAATAGTCCGAATAATGTAAATAGTGCTTTTTTGTTGCGTTTTATAAATTGAGGATAAAGCTCCTCACATCAAGTTGTTGGCACCGCGCAAACAGTAAAAGGGAGATAAGCATTTAAATTCACTTCCGCTATTATCTTTTTTTTTTCTTTTTATTCCTTTTTGCAAAGTTTTAAAACTGGCGTCCGTCGATATTTTCATAATTTCCACCGGCAGATTTACGAGAATCTGAAGATAATGTACAAAAAGGCAATACAACTGAGTAAACGATGGCTTTTAAAAGATTTCAAAAACGGTACCTGCTATTTAATTGATATGATTTGCCTACAGGATTCTAATCCTTTTAAAAGAGAATGTCAAAGACTAAAATTATAAGGACCTGAAAATCGAAGTAACAAAAATGTAGAAATTTAAAACTATGATTATCTCTGTTGTGATGGGGTCTTTTGGCATGATAAAGAAGGATATCAAAAATCATGTGAGAAAAATTCCTGGACACATCAGCATCTCAGACTAACAAAAGATTACTTTGTGCGGAACGGCATATATCATATCCATAAAACCCTCTCTTTATAAACGATACTTCTCAAATGTGCATAGGTAACTCTTGCAGTGCCTTTTTAACTCATAGACCCCCGGACGGGATTTGGCAATTAGACACTTAGAATTACTCTGGCAAGATGATATCACAAACAACAACAACAGCAGCAACAACAGCAACAACAAAACTAATAATAATAATTGATAATGATTGCAGCAATTTTACAAAGACTTATGTCAAAATTATTTACTGTTTTCACTCCTCTTAAAAGAGCCCTTCTTTTTAGGGAACTGTATTTGTTATTTCTGTTGGAGCTGTTTTCAAAAATTGCCTAATTTCTTTTAACTGAATAATTAAATATTGATGAAATGGTTTTTTTTTTTTTAACTTAACCTTCTGTTGATGTGCAGTTCAAATAACTGGAGAATGACAGAAATTATCACCATTTTCAAATATAGTATAACACCAAATTCATACGAACGACAAAAAATATGTTTCAATGTGATTGTTGGAAATTCACTTCAATCTGTTAGTGAAGTCATCAAATAGACGCTCATTCCTCCAAGCAATCAATGTCCTAAAATCATTTAGGCCGTGAGGGTAATTTTCAAATTTTTTTCTCTTCCTTTAAAAATGTTCGCTTGTATGCTGCATTTGTGCAGCTGAAGAAAATCACAAAACGCACATCGTTTATATGTCAATTTTTCACGTTATTTATGCATCCATACTGTGATGATATAATGTACAAAGCTTTGAATTCTGCAAATTATTTTGTAATTTAATATTTTGTATAGAAACTGGAGATCAAAAGACACTTATAATTAGCATCAGAAAAACAGTTGAAATTTATACGGTACGTAATATTTATAGGGTACGTAATATTTATAGGGTACGTAAAGAGGGATTGGAAAATGTGATACTTACAGGAAATATGGAAGGTAAGAGGGACAGAGGAAAATAACGTAAAAAAGACAGGAAATTGTGGAGAGCTATAATCGCCAACGTTCTGAAAATTCACGGTATATAGAGGAAGATATATTTCTTTACTTTCCCTGTAAAACGTTTTCTTTAGCAAGGTTTATTTTTATTTGTGCTATTTCAAATCAAAAGGAAGAAAAGATCAAGGATAAAAAGTACATTTTTACTAACTTTTCTGAAAATTAAATTTACCAGCGCATGCTCCTGCCGCGGTTAATGGGACAATTCGTGTAACCTCTTTTCATTATTTCATTTTTTTAAATACCAAAAATGACTAATTATTTTCTTTTTTCTGATTTTAGACAAATATTACATCACACTTGACAAAAGGTACGGCAACATGAATGATTCCTACGTGTACACACAGAGTTTGTGAGTATTTTAAATCCATTCAAATTTATATTCAACGAAAGAATGTTTCATTTAAAATATGTAGCATAAACTGCGATGTAGAAACAATTATCTACTGGTTTTCCATTATTTCCTATCTATCGTAATTTTCATGATTTATAATTTCTTACGGGCCAGAGAGACAATTGTATATATGTCTGATCTCTTACGTTATTTTAAATCTCGTACGTTATTTTAAATCTCGTACGTTATTTTAAACCTTCATTCCTTATCTTAACGTAGCCAAGAAGAAATGCATGAAAACAATTAAAAAAAGAATTAGGATTTGTAACTAATTCTAAAGAAGCTTATAGTCACGCACAGAGAAGGCGTTATGGTGTTTAAAATAATTCCAATTCATAATTCAATATATTTTGTAATCTCTTAGGCGAATTTTAATGGGCTCTTATTGTGTAGTAAGATTTAAATTTTTAATTTAAAAAATGCTTGTCGTTTCATCATAAATCAGAATTTTGTTAGATACGTTTGCTTTTTTTTTTATTTGTATCCTATTTTTCCCAGTGACGGGACGAAATAACATGGAAGTTTGGACGAATGAATAAGCATAAAAAATAAAAAATATTTTTCACTAATTGATCTTTTATTAATTTGCAGACTGAATCTTGTCGAAGTGATCCTAAATATCTACACATTTTATTTGGTAAGTCAAAATAGATTTTCTTTTTTATAGTTTTCAGAAAATTGTCTATCGTATGTATTACCAGATGGGTTACCAGATGTTACCAGATGAGCTACCAGATGTTACCAGATGGCTTACCAGATATGCTATGCTCACTTGTTTGTTTGAGATTAGCTCGCATCATTAAAAAATAAGGGAACATATTTCGCTTCATATTGTAGTTAGCTAATTATTGCTACTTTATATATTCAATTACTTCTGTTCCAACTTGCCGCAGAATTATTTTTTTAAATATTCCTTTAAAATATGAAATACACATTTTAAATTTGCATCTTTTAGTAATGAGAAGTAAGAAAAATATTTTGTAAACTTCCGAGGTATTATAAATTAATACCCATTGATAAATATTATATAATTTTATATATAAATTAATGCCAATTTATAATTTCTACGAATAATGTTTTATTATAAATTATTACTCTGTATAAGGAGTAGTAAAAAACAATTCGAATGGTCAAAAAATACATGGCTATCGATGTTTGTTATAGTGATTGACGGTCGATGGGAAGTAATCTAGTAAATAGTTCTGTTAAGAGTTACTTCCCTGGATACATTTCAGAGTTATTTCCCCTTGTATTGAAAATGATTCGAAAATTATTTCCCTTTATCTATCTATCTATCTATCTATCTATCTATCTATCTATCTATCTATCTATCTATCTATCTATCTATCTATCTATCTATTCTTCTCTTCATTCTCATTGTTTTTTTAGAGAATTAATGAATATAAAACAATCACATATCAACAATAATTTCCCGAACTCTGTTGTTCATGAAGAAATAGGATCAGCTGGACAGAAATTTAGTAAAATATTATCAGCAACTAAGTTGACATAAGCAAAAACAAAGACTACATTAAATTGTTTTATTGTAAAAGGCTAATAAAATTATAAGCCGCCCGTTTATAAGGGTTATAGATCTTAACAAATATCTTCGATTTATCAACCATTATAAAAAAATCAAATCATCGAAATTAATACTAAATCTAACCGATGTAAAAATAACGTTGTTTATGTTGTCATTTGGGAGATTATATCTCAACAAACAACATTAAATTCTTACATTGGCGACAGACAACACACACAGACACACATAAACACACACAGACACACAAACACACACACACAAATACACACACACACACACATATATATATTTATATATAAATTAGGATATCAGCTGAGCTAATTTTTATACCTAAAAGCTCTACACGTTAAATTTTGATCCTTTTATATGTGTATTGAGCACTTTTTAATACTACTGTTTCCTGGTCTAATTACACTTTGGCCATTAATGAAAGTTTAATGAAAGTTTACAGTAGATGGCGCTGTGCTGTCTCCTGATACTATCCTCATGTCTAGACGTATCTTTCTTTACCTTTTTCTCTTCTCTCTCCTTTTCTTCTTTTTTATCTTCTTTTTTTTTAAATCTTTTTCAGTATTTCCTTTACTTTTTCTGTTTTTCTTCTTCTTTTCCTCTGCTTTGTTTTAAAATTAGTTTTAGGCTTTTATTTTATTTTATTTTATTACCGCGATCAGTGTGAAAATCCTTGCAGGGAAATTTTAACGTGTAACGTGAAATGATCATTAAATTGAGGGCATTTTGAGTTCCTGTTGTATGTAATTTACACACACACACACACACACACACACACACACACACACATATATATATATATAGAGAGAGAGAGAGAGACAGACAGACAGACAGAGACACGGTGAAGTAATGGCTAGCGGCTTGGATTGAGGAATCGCAGTGCCGAGTTCGAATTCCAGTCGAATCCACTACATTCACTTACGTGCTAATACCCTTGGGAAAGGTATGAATCCTCCTACTCTCCCTCCAGCTATGGGTAAAATTGCAGGACAGACTGGGTTCTATAGCCTTGGATGGCAACTGGTCTAGGAGAAGGACAACTCTGAATTCAAAACCTGTGGGAACCTTGTGGCATTCGGTGCACCAGGTCTCTGTATTCGTCCCTTCAAAAAGTGTGGATGGTCCTGCGCGAGGCCTTCACCACTATAATCAAATCTCATGTGCCAGTGTCGGGCTGTCGGTTTCCTGGAAACTGATCTGCTTGACCCTCATACGTCGAATCTCGACGGCAGAGTCGATTATATATATATATATATATATATATATATATATATTGGTTAAATACCAACGAAAGATCCTTGATATTTTTTTCAATGTACAGTTAGGCTTTTGCCTTTCATTGAATACCCTCCTCTAATTTGTGATGTCAATTTTTTTTTTCGCAACAGCTTTGGTCATATTCTTTCTTCTTTTTTTTTATGTGCCATGTCCTTTCAGGGCGTAGGCGATCATGGCTCTCTCCCTCCTTCTATCCCTTGCAACTCTCAAAAAGTCTTTTTCCTCCGCCCCCTCCCCCAGACGACGTTCTGTCACCCACTTGCTTAAGTCCGCTAGGTATATCATGCTTTGTTTTCCCTTGTCTCTCTTTCCCTCTATTCAACCCGTGAGTATCAGGTTCTCCAGGCCCTCCTTCCTCATTGTGTCCCAGAAGCTTCACTTGCCTCTTCCTGATATTAAGCATAAGCCCAAGAAGAGCTCATATGCAAGGCATAAAAAATGTTTATTATTGGACATTTCATAACAATAAGCCAATTTGATCATTGAGGTAATTTTGTCTATTTTTGCAGCTTCAGTGCTAGAAATGAATATTTGTATACAGATTTTTAAGGATGATTATTTGAAATGTTAGCCATGAAACGTTGTTCATACTCGCATAGTATTCAGTACATTTGTTTACTTGTAAAATATGCAATATTTGTTATAAGCATTTGCCTAGTTAGTGAGTTTTTGTTTTTGTTTTCTGTTTGACAGAACAAGGTCAACAGTCGCCATACAGTCCCCCTGGCATTTACAGTGACGGTGATGACTTTCTGGAAGACGGTTTTATATTTTCTGATGTTCGCAGAACCGTGTGGTGATACTTTGTACCGGGAGGGCAACTCCGCCCTTGCTGAATTCTTTCTTGTCATTATACCAAATGGCGTCTGGATCGTACTTCCTCTTTTGGTGCTGGTATGTCTTTGGAACCGAATCACACCAAATGAGAAGATCACCGATTGACCACACAGACACACACACACACACACACACACACACACACACACACACACGTACTGAAATGTTGTTGGCCTAATACCTTTCTTAATGACCAAATATATATTTTTTTAAAAGGGATTCTTGATTGGGTCGAAAATCTTTCAGCGTCCTCTTGTATGTTATACATATATCCCAAGGTTTTTATTTTTGCGACACAAATTTTCAAATAGCAAGGAAAATCTGTCAGTTTCTACTTACATGCTCTATCTTCCATACACTGGCTAATATCTGACCCAGCAGGAGAGCTCTCATTTCTTAGGCGTGCAAAATCTACCAAGATCGAACTGAATTATTGTCGAGATCAAAGATCGATCGACATCTTAAATAATTAACTGCAAAAACTTTCGGGATTTCTACTTTCGTTTTCCAATTAAATTATTTTCTCAGTTAGATTTACGATCTAGCATGAACGTGTACATAATTCAGAATATTTTGATTTTAATATTGGCTTGAGATGCAGGCTGTAGGTATTTAATTTATTTAATATTTCCTCCCCCCACAAAAAAAAAAATAAAAACAAAACAAAGTGACTAACAGTACGTTTTTTTGACACTGTATAAGCTACTTGCTGTATTTTTTTGACTGTTGTACTAACGCTTGAAATACTTCAAGAATAATCTTATTTAAAAAAAAAAAAAAAAAAAACTGTAGTAAGACATACTTTGCAAACAAAGCGTAAAAATTTGACTTCTTTTCTAAACCGAATCTAAAAAAATTGCGCCAAATAGTTCGATTGTTGGAGACCTCTAGAAAATGCACCTTCATTAAAATTAAGCTCCATTTTTGCCTGGTTAATACCAGAATTCGGGAACTGTAAGTTAAAAAGGAGAAAGCAAACCTTGATGTCCTGTCGTCTCCTATTTAATTTTGGGTTTGTAAATCTGTGATACATATGTGGAGTAAATCTTACGAAATATAAAAGTAATTTTATAAAAAGAAATATTTCTCTCCTAGTTTGGGTTAGTATATTAATGTTAATTGCATAAGATTTATAATTTTGTACACTCTTTTTTCAAATCAATTTATTGTGTCTGTTCCCTTAAAGATGTGAAAGCTTTCATGCTAAAAGCAAAACATTTAAAATTAGCTACATGTCATATTGCGTTGCAAGTAGCTGAACAAATGAGTGTGCATGGCATTTTCAAACACTATTCTTGTTTTCGACAACAGTCATTTCATAAAAGTTTGTAAAATATGCGATACTGCCGTGCGAAGCATTCAGATAACTCTTGTGTCTGTTTCAGCGTGTGTTGGTATTAGGTTTATAACGAAAATGAACAATTGTTAAATATTTCACAAATGAAGCAAGTGAAACAATAAGAAAAAAAATCAGCGGAGGCCAGAAAAGTAATGTTTGTCCTCCTTTTTCGCTGATTCTGTTGTAGTTTCATAAAATTTTTCCTCTTGAATTATTTTTTGTAACGTTTCAGAAATCTGCGCATGCGTGATAGGCATGTCATTTCTTTTGAGATATCAATAAACCATTAACAGATTAAAAGAAAAAAAAGTATAACAAAATGCGTAATCAATCAACCTGAATAAAAGACTGGACATTTCAACACAAATGAGTTTATAAAAGATATGGCTGCCATTTTTTTCCTCATTGTATATAAAAACTTCATATAATTTTTGCGTGAGTGTGAATATTTTATATGGGTGCGTGAAATGAAGACAAATGGGTCTGTTCATATAAATATCTATGGAATACATATGTGTGCATGTGTATATATATTGCATCTCTGTGTATCATTTTGTAACGTCATTGATAAATAAAATATTAAATTTTCATTGTTTCTTTGTCCCTTCTTTTTTTGTTTGTATATTTTGATGCGTGTTCACGTGACGTAGAAGACAAAATCATATATCAAAATATCATTCTGTATTGCAACAACGCATTTAAAGGTGGCAAACCATTTGGATGTGAAGGGGGAGAAAATATTGTTAAGTTCCCTCGACCTTGCATTTGGCATGCCACAGCTATCAGGAAGTAAACTCAGCCAAATTCCACTGCCACAATGGGAAAAAATGGTAGAACGTGAAAGGCGATATATGTTTATTTAAAAAGAAAACCATTTACAATTTTAAATTGTTATTATTAAACCTTATTAATTTATATTATCAAACATAATTGTTATGACTAATATAATTATTATTATAAACTTTATTAATTGATATTATTAAACGTAATAGTTATTATTAAACTATCGTCATTAGTATGTGATTATAGTGATTTTCTAAGCGTGGCACAAGGTCGGAAATATGGAGCACACAGTGAAGATTGAACTCACTATACGCTTGTTAATCATTATACAACTTCAAAGTGTCCATTGGTATGTCGTTACATGATAGGGGATTTCTAATCATAGCTTAGATGTGGTACAAGGCCGAAAGTATGGAGCGCCCAGTGAGGATCGAATTCACTATTCAATTGTAGCTGATCTAAGGAGACAAGCTTTCTATCATTACATCACGGCGAAGTGCTAAAAAATGAAGACTTATATGATGTAAAGATCGAAACAAAATGCTGAAAATGTTTATTTTCGCGTTGACATTTCACTACTTTACGTGAGCATTATCAAAATATAAATTTTTATATATATTTTTAAGCGTTTCACCCCAAGTAAGGCGGGAAGCCACTAGCACGCAAGGGGTTACAGAGAGTTGGAGCGAGAGCAAATAGGAGCGGTGGAGGAAAAGATGAAGAGAAGGATAGGGGATAGATCAAGGCATCTGGAGACGTCGATTGACGTTACATTTGAATAGTTGGAGATTATAGCTATCAGGGAAACAGGAAAAGGGGAGGGATTTCCACAGGCGAGAGGTGCGAGACATGAAGCTATTGGAGTAGAAGAGACGGCTACATTTAACAGTTTCGACAGTGAAAGGGTGAGAGCGAGATGCCAGTAGAACGCTTAAATTCATGAAGTTTGGGAACCAGCGAAAGCAGCTCATCGGAACAGTTACTATGAAAGTATTTGTAAAAAAGACAGAGAGAGGCGACGGCACGTCTGTGAGAGAGCGACTGCAGACGAGATGCCAGATCAGGGCCAATTACGTTGCATATCCGTCTCTGGATCTTATTAAGGGCCACCAGACCATATATGGCAGCAATACTCAATGCAAGGGCGAATGGTTGACTTTTAGATTTGAAGGATCGATTCCGGCGAGAAAAATTTCCTGGCGCGTCACAGGGAGCGAGCTTTCTTTGCGGTGGACGAAGCTATTGACTCAATGTATTTATTCCATCTCAGGTCAGCAAGTCAATGTGAGACCAAATAGTCGCAAAGAGGAACTCTCGAGAAGTTGGGCGTCAGACATTCTAATGGGAGGTGGGGCGGGATGGTTCTCTGTGATGAGTAATAGAGAGCAGTTTTGTTTTTGAGGCGTGAAAGTTAACGAGCCAATTCCTGCCCCAGTTCACAATCGATTGGAGGCCCTTTTCGAGACGAACGGCCAGGTTAGTTTTCTCAAATCATTATGAAATAAAATTATCAACATCCACCTGGTTTTCAAATATTCCACCATTACACGTCGTATACATATCTTATTTGGGATTCTACGCCGTGGCTGGAATAGTTGCATTTTTATTTTTATTTTTTTAATGACGTCAGTGCTCTGTTAAAATGCTTGCTTTCAAAACGCTCATCAGACACTCCTCTATTAGAAAGATTGACGTAACACAGTCTTCCGAAGCCCATTCTTCATCCTATCCGTTGCTTATCAGTTCTGATATATCTCATTGTTGTTGTGTGCACATCAATGAATTGTGTTTTTAATGTCTCCCCTTCTATTTAAGTTGGAATTATTTCTTTCTGTTCCTGTCTATATGTCGACCAGCCATGAATACAAGAAGAAAGAAATGCACATATTAATGTCTGAACGCTGATTAGATAGACAACGTTTGGAGAAGATTCCATGAGTCACTGTTAGTTGAATAAAAAAATGAGAGAAAGGGTTTCTGCGTGTTCAAACAAAATGACAATATTTATTTAACGTAAAATACACAAATTCTTAACTGTAACTACTATTACAAAATAAAAGTTTGTATTTAGTTTGACTGAAAAGAAAATGGACATAAATATTCTTTCAGTGAGGAATAGAGAAAGTGGAATTGGGAGACAAGAACAAAGGGAATCCGCTGTTGTTTTGGTGAGAAAGGCAGGACGACGAGGTTGATTCATGTCTCTTTACTACTGTCAATCTTTCTGCTGACTTGAATGGATGTCTGGTTTATATGACTTCATGTAGTCTCCAGAAGGTTATGTTTATTTATTGGCTATTCTTTATTTTTATTGATTTGAAAGTTTGAAATACTGTTTGAAGCCGGAAGGTGTGTTTATTTGCGTCATTTGATTTTTTGATTTGAAACAGTTGACTTCCGTTTACTCTACAACAGTTTAATTGATTAATTGCGCGACTTTGGTAAATTTATCGTGCATAAAAATAATGTTTAAAATATTAATGTATGGTTTGTCGAATTGATGTTGTGTTTAATACGATGGCAACCATTTGCCTTTACGTCAGTCTTTACTGTGGAACTGCATTTTAGTTCGCGTCACGGCTGAGCTAACAAATAGCAAATTGAACTGAATTTGAAAGCCAAATTTTCTTGTGACTCGTTTCATCCTTTAGGGCTTTAAGGACTAAATTTTTTTATGTTGGTATGACTACACATGTGCACGGAAAAAATGAATTTTAAATTCCTAGCATCACTGGTTCGTGCGTTTGTGTCGTCGCATCAACAACAAATTTAGTCTGATGAAGTCTTAAAGGTCGAAACACGCTGCAAGAAAACTTTTCCCACTTTGTCACTGTCACACACACACACACACACACACACACACACACACACACACACACACACACACACACGTGCGTGTGCGCGAACACATGCACACACACACACATGCAACAAACAAATTAACTTTAAACCCTCTCCTATTTCACAAAAAGCAAAAATATGT